GTGTGTGTGTAACTGAACTATAAACATTATTTTATATAATTTACTTTATGAACCTTTTTTTATTGCATCACAGGAAAGCCATGAAACAGGGCTTGAAACGGTCATCTCAAAGGTTGCCATTTTCAAGTAAGTACATTTCACTAAAGGTAGTTGTTTATACAAGTTATTACACAGTTGTTGCACTCACATGCAATGCTAAATGTACTCTAAAATCTTTATTAAATGTGGTTTAGGAAACCAGGCGTGTCAGGCCATGGCTTGTATGAACTGAAGAAGGAATGTCTGAAAGAGTTTAACCCCTTCTTCTATCATTATTCCAGACCACAGCATAGTAAGGTTTGTGATGCACCCATTATCTCACTCATTATCTCATCCTCATTAAAATACAGATTAGTCTTTAAACGGAAGGAAATGTTTATTGTTCATATTAGGCAGAAGAGGCTCAGAAGAAGAGGAGAACCCAAGAGAGCAGTGATAAAGGTATGCTGATCTGTACTGATGTTAAATGCATTATATAAGTCTCTTTGGAATATGAGTCGCTGCACATCTCAGATGATAAAAAATACTTCTGGAAACTATGGTAAATGCTAAACAAAAACGCATCGATGTGTATAAAATAATTTGTTGCAATTATATGAAAATAATGTTTTATAGCTTTTACAATTGTGGATTTTTTTCACTGTAATGTTGTATTAATCAATTAAAAGCCAGGGCTAGAACTGACTGTTTTATGAATTTTAAATACGAATTTTTGACCAAAAATGTCACTAGTAGATGATATTAATGCACAGGGTATGATATGTTATGTCACTCTATTTTAGCCCTCCGTCCCCCAGTGCCTCCTCCCTTCTGTCCGGCATTCTCAAACATAGTGTATCTGCTCTGCTGTGACATCTTCATCCATATTCTGAAGAGAATCTTCCAGAAAGCAGCGGAGGACCGTTCCAACCGATGGACTGAACCCATGATCCAGAGGGTATGGCTCTTACTGTCCTGCCTACACC